CATAACGCTTTCAGGTACAGAACATGCAATGATAACTTGCTGACCCTTCCAAATATAGGAATAAGTTGGTTAGACTAGCATAACTTTTGTATGATTAACACATCGAGATAACTAACACTTATGGGTTGGATAATGGTATCATCACATATGTTTATCGTGGGACAAGATTCTACGAGATCGGCATAATGGTTCCCTCTGAGAAGTAGGAAAAGTGTTTATTCATTAGAGGGATTGAGAGTTAAGTTATGTAAACCGGATCACTCAGCATGGTTAGAATAGCCAAATTAAAGGATGGAGGTGGGTGATTCCAACCTCATATTGTCCGTGTATTTAATAAGTGGGGAATAATAAAAAAATAGACAGAATAAATACGAGTAGAAAAGAAAATCGGGGACAGAACTGTACTCTGTAATACGCATAGTGTAGTGATTAAGGAAAAGGAGTAATGACCTAGGTGGCGTGTGAACTGTGGTCGATTTGTTGAATAGTCTATGGATATAGGAAATTATGATGTGTGATATCACAGTAGAAGACAAAATATTTAACAGCTTATATATGTCAGCACGATTTAAGGCATTGCTGTAACCAAAGAAACATAGTCAGACCGCTTTCTTATTTACATCGAGTGCTGATAGAATACGGTGAACCAGAGAATCTAGGCTATCAGGCGTGGAACGATAGCGGCGATGCGCAACTTGGTTATGGTTCTGATCATTGGGCTGCAATGATATTCCTTGAAAATGTAACTTCTTGAAGAGCTTTAACACCCCACCCCCCAGACGTACCTGATATCGGAACGAATTTCTCGGTTCTCATTTTAGGCACCGGAGTGATCGAGGTATATTTGCAATATTCATTTGTAATTCCGTTTTTCAACTGCCAGTTAAACAGAGCCGTGAGCTCTGAGGAAAGTGTGTGACGCACTCCTTAAGGATAGTGACATTCAACCTGTCGGTACCAGATGACTCATTGCGTTTGATAATCAGTAACCACTTCAGAACATCCATTTGTTGAATATTGAAGGGTTCTACATCGCTGAGGTCGGTGTTTGTGCTGTCGATGGACGACCCCGCCTCCCTGTTACTGTTACTTGTTACCGGTTCTATTTAGCTCCTCAAAGTCTATTGTTGTTCGTGAGACCATTGCGGATTGACCACCCCCATCGATTGATGGAGTTCCATGTTTTGCAGCAGAGTGTGAGTGCAGATGCCATTCAGTCCATGTAGCTCGCCTTTGATAGAAAGTGGTTGGTGTTTCACCTTCTAAGGATCTTAGTGTTTGTATGCTCTTTCTTTGCTTTGACTTAACTGTTCCAGATGAGGAGACGAGAAGTGGTTACAGCAAACGTATAGTGTCTACCAATGGCAGCATATGTTGTAGAAAAAGTTTAGATATCGTGTTTGGCGATGACAACAGATGGAGGGATTAGAGTGGTAGAATTCACTGACGTTTTTCTGAGAGACCATTTAACTGAGTTCGTCTAGGTGCTCTTTGTTCGATTGACGTTTCTTTCTTCTGATATCGTTGCTTTTTGTAAACATCACGTGATTTAATTTACTATTTCCTATCGGAAAAAACTTCAACAAGGGCATGGTCGAAAGACCGAAGAGTGCAGCCAAAAGTTACGGAAAAAGCTGTCGTTATTAATAAAACAGATATCCAAATGAGCATGTAGCCTTGTTCGGAAGCTCACTATTTTTCAAACTAAGAACAGTCAAAAAGCTCGGATCGACACGATTCAAGTCACCACCGATGACACATTGCGAGGGACTAAGACAATCCACCAAAGCTATGGAAAACGTATTTGAAAAATGGAGTTCCTCTGATGAGCAGAAAATCGACTGCCAGTTACTCAGGTGCCTGGACTTCCGATCAGGTATGGAAACATAGATGTAACCAGTGAAGTGAGCGAATATCGGCTTCACATTCTAGCAATAATTGCTATTGGTTTAAGTTACCAGGCCTGCTTCATGCTTCTGATACGTTACGGTAGGGTCAACTCAGTATCATTGATTTCGGTAATCCCCTCATCAACAACACAATGTACCCAGATCTCTTATAAGAGAATTTCACCCAAATTATAATATTCTATATGGTGCACAGATATATCTGGTAATTTCCTAGGCAATGAATGTACGTTTTTGTTGATAATGACGAGTATACAGAGTTGTGACAAACCCCTTTGACGCAGTCCTACTCTTCATCCACCCTGATGTTCACCAGATTTCCGGTTTATTCTTTATATTTATTTCTCACCGACCTTCAAAAATCAAATTATCCTCTGGGCATATTGGAGTGTTTATGTGTCTATACAGGCGTTATGGAATTTCGCGATCGGTATCATCGTAATCGCACAATGTCGACATAACAAC